GCCATTTGGACACCTTGTACCTCACTGAGAGGAAGTTCACCTATCAGAACCTTCAATTCCTGGGAGCATTGGAATCTTCTTTCTTTTGTAGTTCTTCCCTCCCCTGTCCTCCCAGCAAAATGCTATTTGAGTTCGCCTCTTAAGAGGGTAGCAGGATTCTTTTCCTCCTGTCATGAACTGATTTGCTTAAATAATCTGCTCATTACTTCCTGTCACAGTGACCAAGTAGAGGCTGCTGGGACAAATTAGTGTCAGCTACTTTAGTCATCCAATTGCCAAAACAACAAGTCTGTTTAAGGGAACTTAGATTTGGGGTTATTTCCTTTCTTCCTACCTCTCTCCTCTTCGATGCACTCCTCCTTTCTTTTCCTCTTTGATGAAAGCGCAACATTCTTTGTCGTTGTGTATCTCTGTCTCAGTCTCCCCTCCTCTCTGAGACAGACAGACAGACAGACACACACAGACACACACAGACACACACACACACACACGAATTGTCTTGTCTTGACTCAGCTGTTTATGAATGAAAGAGTCCTCTCTCACTGTTTAGCCGCACCTCTTCTCTGTGCAGCATTTTGAGAAAGAGGTCAGGGCCAGAATCTGACTGCTTATGTCTCAGAAATAGCAGCTTACATCCGAATTAAACTGCTTTTATGCCTCATTCAGACAATAGAGGGAAAGGTACAGATCGGCTTATATCTTTGTAAAGAATTTTGAAAGGAACGAATGAATGAATGAGTGAATGAGTGAGCTTATGGGAAATAGGCTGGGTAAGCTGGCCAGGAGCATGAGCATTTACAAAAATGGTAATTGCCATCAGATTGTAAGAGTTTTTTTTTTTTGGATTCTGTGGAGTATGTCTTAGTTTTTAAAAGAAAATGAAATAATAATAAAATGAAGTCCAGTGGTATATAGTTTTAAAAGTTTAGTAATTTTATTTCAGGTCTCAGGTTTACAATACTATTAATAACTAACGTGTGTATACACAGTAACCACACTTCACCACCATCCCCAAACGCCCAGTACCCTCTGCTGCTATTCTCCTGTTACTTTTAGTTCATTTCTTCATCATTCACCCCACAGCACTTAGCAATGCCAGTTTGTAGTTCAAGACTAAGGATTTATCTTCATTCAATACATCTGTTCCTTTGGTTTGTTTCTCTCTATACAACAGGTGGATGAGATTATCTGGTATTTTCCTGCTCCCTTTGACTTGTTTCACTTAACATGGTGCTCTCAGTCCCATCCGAGCTGCAGAGAACTGCAAGATTTCACCTTTTCTTATAGCTGCATAGTATTCCATTGTGTATATAGACACCTGCCCCCAGCCCCCATTTCTTTATACATTAATCTGTCATTAAATAGTTGGGCTGTTTTCATATCCTGGCTATTGTACTGAGTACTGCAATGAACACAAGTGTCCATACATCTTTTCAAATTAATGTTTGTGAATTGGGGCTGGGGGCAGATGTCAAGAAGTATAATTGCAGGGTTCTATGGAAGACCTATTTTTATTTTTTTGAGGAATACCAATGCTGTTTTCCATAGGGGCTGACAGTATTCTACTAAAACAGTTGATTCTTCTTTTTAAAAGAATTTATCAGGTTTTTAAAATTGCATGTTCTTTTTATAGAGGCCAGTTGTTCAACCGAGTGTTCCCTTTGTTATCTACCGCCCCCCCCCCATGAGTAACGTTAAAATGAATATCTTCTGCACATTTTACTTCCTGTCAGCCGAATTGGCACATGATTCAAACTTGTGTGTGTGGTGCCCCTCACCCCAAACACACCTTGATCTGTTAGAGTGTAATTCGTGGAGGAGACAGATATGGCTAATACTTGTCAGCCTGCAGTCCCTTTAAGGTATTGACATCACTAATAGGCATTTGTTGACCCCTGGGACTGTGTATGTGAGCAATGTTTATGTTTTGTTTCAAGCTAAATTGTTGGCTTCTAAATGTCTCAAAATTTTGGACATCCTCTTAGTTGCATCCTTCTTTGTCAAAGATTAAACAATGTCTAATGTTGAGTGAGGACAGGAGTATTAATATCAACCCCACACAATCATTTGATGAGCTTTAGTACCGCTGGTCTTGTTTGAAATAGATGACAAAACTATCTTTTATATTATGGATGATTATTGTTATATTTTATATTATGGATGATTTTTATATTATGGATGATATTTTATATTATGGATGATTATTGTTATGTTATATATGTTATATATGTTATATATATAACAATATATATAACAATATAACAATATATATTGTTATGTGGCAATAACAAAATCGGGCTGGAGCGATAGCACAGTGGTAGGGCGTTCGCCTTACAAGCGGCCAACATGGCCGACCCGAGTTCGATTCCTCTGCCCCTCTCGGAGAGCCCGGCAAGCTACTGAGAGTATTCGATATGCCAAACACAGTAACAACAAAGTCTCCAATGGAGACGTTACTGGGCCTGCTCGAGAAAATTGACGATCAACGGGAGGGCCTTTACCCTTTACCCTTTTATTGTTATGTGAAGAGTATAAAAAAAGGAATAATCATAGTCATAAAAGTAGCCTGTATATATTTCCTAATTTGGCTTCCTATACCTAAACAGTTTCCAAAATACTTGAAAAGTGTTAAAATTATTATTAGTTACAATTATTTTTGCAATTATTATTAAGTGTTACTCACATACATATACACCAATACAACTTTTATATCTATGAAGTGAAATTAAATATGGATATAAAGATGCATTTGTACATATATGCATACAAAACCACATTTGTATATATGTGAACATTTGTACAGTTTTCCATTCCATTATTGATTGATTGTCTTCCAGTTTATTATTTCTTTTTTCCCCCCACATTACTTTTTTATTTTATTGTATCACCATGAGATAGAGTTACAAAGTTTTCATGTTTGAGAGTCAGCAATACAATGATGAAACACCCATCCCTCTACCAGTGAACATTTTCCACCACTACTGTCCCAAGTGTCAGGCCCCCTCACATACAGACACATCGCAGTCCTCACCCTGCCTCTATGGCAGATATTTTCCTCAATACTCTCTCTCTAATTTGGGGCATTAATTTTGCTCGAATTTTCCCACCACCATTTAAGCCTACCTGCCAGGGGCAGACTAGATAATTTATTTTCCAAGCTCATTTTGAATATTATGAGAGCTTACAGAGGCACAATTGTAAATTTCTAGATCGTAAATGGTTGATTTCCGGAGACATCTCTGTATGGCATTCATCCATTTTGGGATTTAATTGGGAGCCTCTGGGCCAGGGCTGTTGGTGTGCTAAGATGGCACCCAGAGGCAAATTGTGGGTGTGACAGCCAGTCTTCTGGGCAGGTGGTGACCTGAGGAGGGACAGCCCAGGTCCTCTGCCACCATGCAGCCTAGAGATTTAGTCCTGAACCCGCATACCTAGACCTTGCTTTGGAAGCTCTTGGTCACCGGGATTTCATTGGAGTAGGCAGGGAGACTGCACCTGCTCCATCTGGGGTGCCCCGGTGATATTGGCTCGGTATGGGGCCTGGAGATATCTCTAGCACTGCAGTGTCATCTGGGACTTGCTGCTGTGTCTCTGGGCCGGGGCTGTTGGTGTGCTAAGATGGTGCCTGGAGGCTAATTGTGGAGAGGACAGCCAGTCTTCTGGGTGGGCAGGGACCTGGGGAGGGACAGCCCAGGTCCTCTGCTGCCATGTGGTCTGGAGATGTAGTCTTGCAACCCGTATACCTGGGCCTTGCTTGTGGAAGCTCTTGGTCACCGGGATGCCATCTGGAGTAGGTGGGAAGACTGCACCTGCTCCATCTGGGGTGTCCTGGTGGTATTGGCTCGGTGTGGGGCCCAGAGAGATCTCTGGCATTGTGGTGTCTTCTGGGACTTGCTGCTGTGTCTCTGGGCCAGGGCTGTTGGTGTGCTAAGATCCACATTACAACATTTTCAGAAGATTATATCTTGGTGAGGTCCATACTGAGACGGTGGAGTCAGGCTTGGGGTATGGCGGCAATTTTGGATTGTGGAAACAAGTGGCTGCTGGGGACTCTGCTTGAGTGGGCACAGGCCAACCTGCTCCCTCCAATTTACTCCGGTCTGTTTAGCCATTTATGGGTCTGAGCTTAACTGCGGCTTTTGATCTTTTTTGAGATTTATTTAGGGGTCTTTGAGGCAAGGCCAATAGTAGAGCTAACAGGGTGGCACTGGAGTTGGTTCATGGAGGTGACTGGCAGTTCTTCCATGTGTTTTTGGAAGTGGGGGGAGGTAGCCCATCCCAACTCTAAGTGAGCTTGTATAGCTGAGCCAGAGGTGGTTTGTGGGTGTGACTCCCACAAACCTAACTTTTGGCTGTTTAATTTCTTGGTAAACTTGTTCCCAAGTTGTTGGGGTCTGCACAGTGGCAATTTTGGGGTATCAGGAAGCCTGAAGGCATCATCAGGCTGCTGATGCACTCGCCCTGCAGGTACAGGTTGACCTGTTGGCAGCATCATACCCCCCAGTTTATTATTTCTTATGGGGAAAAAAATGGTTATCTGGCACTGAGATTAAGAATAGACAATGAGGACTCCTATTGGGATGATAAACGTATTCTGAATCTAGATTTTAGTGATGACTTCATAGCTCTTAAATTTACCTGCTTTCTAACTAAATTCTACATTATAAAATGACTGCTTCTTAGGCACGAAAGCTACATTTCAATACCACTCCCAAAATCAATATATCTGTGTTTGAGTACCTTTGGGACCTAATCTGTACACAATATGAAAATTGCGTCAGTCTAAAATTTTGTTTGCTCTTTTGCTTCTGAATTGTTTTGACTTCAGCTGAGGAGAAGTAGACCTGAAAAAGCAGGGCCAGGTCCAGACCCAGTGCCTATGGGTCCAAGTCTGCCCTGGCCTCAAGGGTCAATGGTGAGCTGCTGTGCACGTATCAACGAAACAAGTGGGTCTGCTGGTATTCTGCTCGCAGTGATGGCATTTTTCTCTTCTTTTGCAGGTTGTCTTGGTCTTTGCTCTCAGCATTGGTGCACTTGTAATATACTTCATTGATTCTTCCAAGTGAGTATTCAAATCCGTTTTCTTGCACTCGGTTCTCAAATAGCTGTGAGCTTTAGTTTTCTCACTTATTTCCTTTGACCACAACCTTTCAAAGAGCCCCCTGCATGTAGGAGACTTTGTGAGCCAGGCAGGGCAGTTATGTTCTGCTTTTCCAAACTTTACAGGGGGCTGTTGTGAGGAAGGCTTGCCTGTGTTCTGCTGGCCTAGGAGGGAGAGGTGGCTGAGGTCAAGTCTTTTTTCCTGGGTCCAATTCATTCCTAAACCACTATTTCATGATGAGCTATTTACACTGGCGATGTCAAGAGGTTAAGAGGGCTTTGCCGTGAATTTGCACCTGCTGAGTGGGTTAGGGTGTCCAACGGACTGCGGTCAGAGCCATTCTTGCTATGGCTTGAGGGGCCTTTTCTCATTAGAGTTTCAAATGCTTTAACCTGATGGGAGGTCGCATTGGGAAGCATGACACTAGCCTCTGCATTTGCCAACTGAGTATTCAGCAGAGCATCGCCTGCGGGTGCTCCTTGGCTTGACAGTTCAGAGCTGGGACGAAAGACTTCATTAGTAAGTTACAGACGTGTGGGAATTCCTGGAGCAGACGCTCCTGCAGACCCATTGAGTGCCAAGTGAGTGATGTTCTAGGGTGCAAGAACATCACTTGCATGAGAGCCTCGGGCCAGGTCTCTGGGACAGATGGCAAAGACTTTCAGAAGACAGAAGAGGGCAGAGTGGATCGCTGATACCCACTTCTGCTCCGGTTTCTATGCCTGTCAGCCCCGGGCACACCTTTTATCCCAATGCCTGTACCACAAGCTCAAAGCTGACAGAATCTGGAGGACCTGGAGCTAAAGTGATCCGACTCCCTTTCCTGTGGCACATGAACTTGGCAGCTAGACAGCAACCTGGAGCTTTTTGCCAGTGTTACCCTCTGCGAATGAGTTGTTTTAACTCCTTGAACTTCTCTCCCTGCTATGGCTGGAGGCTATCGCTCAATCCCAGGAAAGTACTTTGGTGTCCCTGTTGGCTCAGAGCCTGGGGTGTCTAAATTCTTACCTTGGTGCTTTTTATTTTCCTCCATGTGGTTCACCATAGTACTCATTTCATGCATACCCAAGCTCTGAATTTCTCAGAGCTATATGATCACCAGTCAAAGGAGTTTTGCACTGGCGCCAAATATGCCATGCCAGGCAGGAGAGAGAAAACACCTCAGAATCTGGGATTCTGGGAATCACCACCTGGGAGATGGGCAAGGCTCTCATCCCAGCTGCACACACAGTGGGCTGTCCATGCCCATCTCAGCTGGAGGAGCTTCTTAATATCTGCCATGAGATTCTCCCTCCTCCTTCTCCTCCTCCTGGCCAGCAAAAAGAAGAGCCTTTTAAGCTTGGAAAACTGCACTTGGATTATTATTACAGGTAAGCCCATTTTAAATCATCCCTCCCAAATAATTCTTGACCGTGTTTGGATGGAGTCAAAGATCTTCTAAAGCCTGGGGTCTCGTGTCTCCTTTCTCTCCTCAGGAGTGATGGTGTCTCCTGTGCCAGAGCGTGCACAGCCTGCCAGCCTCCATGCAGGGGCTCGGGGGATAGGTGTGGGCATGTGGTTTGTGTGCTCCATAGAGCAGCCTGTGCGTGGAGGTGAGTGCGGTGTTCGGTTTGAAAGACAGATGCCTCGTGACCTTCATTCCCTTCCTTGCCCATTTTGTTCCCCTGAGTTTCTCAGAAATAAAAATTTTTTTGTTAGGTGGGTTGGAATCGTGTCCTTCTTTACAATGTTGACTATGAAGCAGTTGCTGTGTAGCTCCTGGGGTGCATGACTCTGTCTAAAACCATAGTAGGGGATAGAATTCTCCCGACTAGACACCTCAGAATCTGGGATTCTTCAATCCCAGGAAAGGGCTTTGCTCTTGCCCAACACTTTGCATCACCTCGGTGTCCTGTGGTTTTAGTTATGATTCCACTAAGCTTTGGGGAAGCCAGCACTGGGGATCCTTTCTGGTTTCTTGGGTGAATTTGCAAGCCCATCTATTTCATGGATAGGTCCTCAGTCCTGCTTTCAGCCTAGCCACGCCAAAATGCCAATTAGTCTTCAACCAAGAGAGTTATCACTCTCCTTGTGGACTGCTCTCCCTTCATCATAGTCTCAGCCCTTCTTCACTGTCACTCAACTCTGGGTTTTTAATTCTTTTCTAAGAAGACTTTATGCTTATTTAAGTAGTGCTTTCTACTTTTCATTTGCATTATTTCATTGGTTTCTGAAACTGTATCCCAAGATTCCAGTACAGGGACTAGGAGCTGCATAGTTAAATCACTTTAGCATTCTCATGGGGAAAGCCAGCAAGAAATCTCAGCTTAATAAAGGATAACATTAAAGTAACATTTGTAAAGTTACCTTCCTGATAAGCCATAGATTTCTAGGAACAAAACAGCTCATGATTAATTATAAGCAGTTGTAGCGAACAAGATAAAAATGTTCTATCCGTACACATGTAAGAAGAAGATTTAAAATGAAAAGAAGATTTAAAAATGTAACTTCTTAGAAACCATCCTTTCCTTCAAAACTATCACTGGTTTTTCACTCATTGTTTGCCTCATCTTCTGGGAAACTTGGAAAGAATGAAAGTTCTTGGGTAGGAGAGATAGAATAGCATAGTATAGTATAGTGCTTGCCTTGCATGCAGCTGACCTGGGTTTGATCCCAAGCATTCCTTCCTTTGCCCACTTTGGACTCAGGGTCTGGTCTCCTGAGTCCCACAAGGAGTTACTCCTGAACACATTCAAGAATAAGCCCTGAGCACTGTTGGGTGTAGCCCCTAGAAACAAACAAAAAAAGTTCTGGGGGTTGGAGCAATAGTGCAGCAGGTAGGGTACTTGTATTGCACTCAGCTGACCTGAGTTCCATTTCCAGTACTCCATATGGTCCCGCAAGCACTTCCAGGAGTGATTCTCTTGGTGAAGAATCAGGAATAAGCCTAAACATCACTGGATGTGTCTCCCTGCCCTCCCTCCCCCAGCTCTCAAATGCTAGTTTTCTTGGAAGGTAGGCTGCATCATTGCTCTGGGAAAAGATACTCGGTATACTTTAGATAAATTTAGTTATTATTTAAACCCTTCAAATATATACATCAGAAGGTTTCCTTTGTGGAGCTTATGTAGGCATATATTTTTCATGAAATGACTTGTCTTCTGTGAATTCTAACCAGAGACAGACTCTCCAAATGGCAGGCAGTTGCAGATTAACATATAAACATGTGCTAGTGGTCGCTCTACTGCCTCTGAGTCCAGGCAAGTCCAGCCAAGCTGAAGGAGTGGACAGGTTGGGTAGTTTTTCCACTTCTGCATATCAGCAAGTGGGGAAGACCATTCAGATAAATGGCATCATTTCTGGCTTAGTGATCTTTCTACCCTTTCTTTCGCTAGAAAGAGGCACTGGGTAGGTGATTTCCAAGGATTTTCTCTCCTCTGAATCTTTCCTTTTCCACTGTTTGGCTGTGATTGATGCCCAAACAGTTTGTTTAGAGATGTCATTTGAGCTTCAATTTTCCAAGCATGACAGAAATAGAAGCGTTACTTGTTCAGCCTTAAGTAATAATTTTTCTTGTAATAGATAGTAATCTTGTCGTCGGAGCTCTTGGACTTGAATCCCCAAGAGAATCCCATTAAACCATATGAAAATAGCAGGGCTCATCATTCCACTGATGAAACACTTCTAGAAACATCCAGGAGAGAGCAAGATGCTCCATCAGCTCTTTGGGTAGACATGAATGTCAGTTCCTTTAGCAAACACAGTTAGGCTCAAAGCCTGTCTCACATGGACATCTTATCCCCCAGAGACTTTCAGTCAGCCACACCAGGAAGGTGCTACCCTAAAGAGCTTCATTTCTCTTTCATTCTTTTCTTTAAGGTAGTGTTAATGCATAGGCATGGTCCACTCCTCATTGTGATGTCTTTGGATGCCACTATAGACTGCCCCTCTCCATTTGTCTCATATATGCAGATACCCTATGATGATTTTTTTTTGAAAGCCATGCAGCCAAGACCCATTGGGAGGTCACACTGTTACCAGTGTTTGCTCCATCTCTGTATTTTTCTTCCTTTTGACACAGGAGCAGTGATTCCTCTCTAATAGACAAGGGGAAAAAATACCCACAGGCTTTAGAGGAAGAGCAGAATTCACAAGTTGCATAATGCGGCATTTCCTGCTGCTTCTAGAATTTTGAGAGAAAGTTGGAAAAGAATGAGACTTAGGTTCCTGGGTATTTGCATTTCCCCCCAGAGGCATTCTGGGAAAGGATGACTCATTTGTGTGGAGGTATTTATTCCTTTGATTCATGTTTAAACTCTGCCACTTCTTATGCTACAGTTGCGTGGATTATGAATATTTAATGCTGCATAGACTGAAAATGAAGGTCAATTCCTGCTTGCCAGTGACTTCAATGCAGGCTCATGTATCCAACAAGGCTAGCTACCTGCTGTTTGTGAAACTGAGAGGTTCTACATTGTTAAATTTGTCCTTAATGACTTTATCTGCTTCAGAATGGCCAGTTATTCCCTCAGTCTTTGCTCCAGGCGACCACTGTCAGCAGTTTTGGTTTGGAGAGATGGACAGTAGGTAGGTGGAAGGAAGAACAGTACAGGTTTTGGACAGCATCTTACTGGATTTCAGAGTAACAGTGATAATGAGATTTGAAAATGACTTTCAGTCTAAAAATTTTTTTGTTTTGTATTCAGTGATTCATTTATTGTGTATTCCTTTGTTTGAAAGATCTTGAATGCCATCATGCTGAATATTTTCTCCATGGTAGTATTGCTTATGTTAGGTATTCTTAAGTAAATCTCTCTTAAGATTGCAATAGAAATGGACCAGATTGCTTTCATAAACTCTGATTTAAAAAAATCAGAGTTGTTTTTTTTTTTTTTTTTTACTGATGCCACTGATGTACTGGAAATACCCAGAGCTATGGCAGAATCAGTCAGTCATTCATCTGTTTCAACTGCTCCTGTCTT